AAGAATTGTATTAAAATAAGAGAAGCTTTGATGCTTCATAAGAGGGCAGAAGAAATGCTCAATTTTCGCTCAACTCAAAACATCTTATTTTTTCTCTTCTTAGTTGCCCAATAGCTTCAGGGTGCAGGTTTTGCTGTTATATCATTAAGTGAAGGATGGCAGCCGGAAAGCCTGTGGCGGGGAAAAGGCTCCGTCCGGGCCGCTCCCGGGGAGTGGAAAGGGAGGGCGCCTGAGGGTGGGCAGAGGGAAGGGTCGGGCGTCAGCGCGATCCGGGCGGGGGCCGGGCCGAACCAGCCCTCCTTTACAAGCAGACAGAACTCCTCAAGTCCGCGCCCGCCGCACCGCTGCCGGCGAGCAGAGACAGAGCGGACCCCACCGCGGGGCTCCCCGGGCCCGCGGGCACCGGGCTGCGGAGGCTCCAGCCGGGACTTGGCCGGCGTCTTCGGGGGTTATTTTTGCACAGGCGGGCTGCGTTCCCCCAGCCTTTCCCCCGAGTGCGGAATCCACTGCCGGCCTGGGAATCTGGGGGAGCGATTTGACAACAAATGCAGGAGGGGGTGTATTTGCATGGTAAAGCCTCGCTTTAGGCTCTACCAGGTGGCACTATTTATTTGCCCGGCAGCGCCTGAAGCTAGAGCCTCTGGCCTGGCTGAATGCCGTTTGGGCCAGCGGTCCCGCCCCAGGTACGGCTCACCTGGCGAGGACAGCCTCCGGGCCCGGGCTGAGGACGTTGGGAGAAGCACCTGATGCTGTCACATCTTCCCAGCCCTGCATTCAGTGGGACAGAGGGGTGGAGGGACGAATTCTCCCTCCTGGGAGGAGAGAACTGCGAACGGGGCTTTGTACTATTCTGGAGAGGGTTCAAACGCCCGGCTTTGGCCACGGGTCTGCCTTGCCTGCAGGGTGAGTTCACTCTGGCAGTGTGAAGGCACGAGAAGGGTAGCAATTTGAGAAAAGCGCCTGAAATGTGGAGGAGGCATTAAGGGAGGAAGAGAAAGCTGAGTAGCAGCAAGACAGAACCAGTTTTCACCTCCACCCCCGGCAGCCGCGGTGGGAAGGCGTGCTCAGGCCTCCTCACAGAGAGAACAGAGGGGTCTTGGATGAGGCCTCTCCCAACCGCACAGGCCTCCAGGAGGGAACTGGTGTGCCAGGAGTGGGGACATTTCCTTGAACGTCTTACATTCATAAGCTCCCTAGGATAGTGTATTCCGATGACAAAAAAATGACCATCCTGCATGTATGTCCAAGCCATAATTATGAGGTGGCTGTAAAGTGTTAATGATCCCTTCTTTAGTTTCAGAGGGGCGCTTATGAAAGACCCTTACGTAACCAGAATTTATGTTCCAGCTCTCCGAAGGCCACATCCCGAAACAGAGAAGACATACTACTACTTGCTAGCAAAAGATAGAAAGTGTGTGATTTTAAGATTCTTGCCCCCGGGATGTTTTCTCCCCGCCCCCTCCCCCTTTACCTCTCCTTTGTGGCGCCTTATTTGTTTTTGTAGTCTCTACATCTCTTTATTGCTCTTTGTTTCTCTCTTCCTACTCTGAGAGGCCTCACAAAAGGCACCCCACCGGGACTTAACTTTGTTTTATGCTAAGCATGGCGTGTGGCAGCAGGAGCCAGCAAACAGAGATGAAGTGAGATGTAATGCGATTGAGAAACAGCTCAGGAAGGAGATTTTCTATAACAGACGAGAGCTTTCCACTCCAAAATTAGATAAGCAAATAGTCCAGTCCATCATTTATTTTCCAATTTTCAATGATGCAAAAGCAGATTTTCTCCCCCAGCATGGGGATTACAAATAGCAGAATTAGACGCCCATTATTGTCTGCGTGATATGTTGGTATCATAATAGCCTCACTACATAAAAATATTTGTATAATGTATTCTGTCAATGATTTCAATAATGACCTCAGAATTCCTACTAAGGTATACCATTTCCAATTTTATATCTTTAAAAGAAAGAGCTTAAGGAATAAAAAAATGCAATAAACTTCAAGAGAAGGTAAGTCAGCCTTCAGTATTAACATTGTTGGCCTTTGAGCCAAATCTCAATTTTTTTTGGATCACTCTGATGAAACACACTGTTTTCTAATATCTGAAGCTGCTGAAGAAAGATATTGCTTCTACAATTCTTTGTGAAAGTGTTGGTTATCAACTGTAAGGCTAAATCACTGCTCAGTGCTCTGTTGTAAGGTTTGCTATTCATGGTTTTTTTATCTACCTAAACCTTTTTAATGAGGATATCCATAATGTGAATTTTATTTCTAATGTGCAATAGTTAAAACACGACCATTTCCACAACATAATATTATGTGCCTATTGGATTAGCCATAGCCATTGACAATGCATTGTTTCATCTCAGTTCTGTTATTTTAGAAAATTTCCCAAAAAATCAGATCTCATCCCATTAATTTTAATGAAATTTTGCTAAAATCATCAAATCTGATATTTAAGGTAAACTGTTTAGAAATCACAAGGACTGACAATAAAAGTTGTCTTATGGGCTATAAATGAGCAAGAAGTAAGAAATCAATACCTACCATTCACTTAAGAGGAAATTTTCTAATAAATAGACTAATGAAGAGTTGCAGATATTTATATTTAGTCACTTCTAGAAGAACGTTTAAAGAAGATTTAGTTCATGCAAAGCAGTGACTTTTACTCCCTGTTTATTTAATTTATTGGGGTGACACTGGTTAACAAAATTATGTGGGTTTTAGGTGCACAATTCCACAACACATCATCTGTACACTGTATTGTGTGCTCACCACTCCCAGTCAAGTCTCCATAAACAGTGACTTTTATAACAAATTTATGATTTGTAACTTTTGGCTAACTCACAATTGTTATTATATGTAAATATTTAATTTGTTCATATATTTTCTATTTTTATTAAAAATGAACAAAGAATGATATGCACCTTGTGACCACGGAACATTCACTTTTACTCCCCTTTTTAGGTTATAGTATACATAGTGGTAACATAAAAGTCTACTTTGTTGTATGTTTGTTTGTATGAGCATGTTTTCCTGAAATTTTTTCAGTAAATCAAATCTAATTTATTCAACATTTTGACTATATAATAGAACAAATAACCTAATTGAAATGTTTCTCTCTCTCTCTCTACTGTACATATACAAATACTAGAAAAGAAAATAATTCCCCTTGGCCAAAATAACTTAAAAGGCAATAATTAATTTTCTAGGTTTTTCTTTTGGCATATCTTAAGTAATGTAAGGAGAAAATCATAACAATGAGCCTTATTTGTGTATATGCAGATAGGGGTATATGACCTGTCCTGGAGATAAAGTTACACTGTGAGAGCCATAATCGAAAATGCCTGTCACTTGAGGTGATATCATGCTTCTATGCACACACAGTTATGTGACATAGAAAGCCAAAGTTAAACAAAAAATGGACAGAAAGCTTCAACTATCTATGTCCTTGGGGGTCTTTTCAGAAGATGGGAATAAGAAAGAAAGCAACTCAAAAGTATCAATTCCCAGGAGAATGAATGGTTAAGGGAGTGTGTAATGGTTTCTAAGGCAGCATTAGCGTTCAGTGTTTTTAAACTAAAGCAGCACACACAGGCCATCATAGAAAGCAACAAGAAAAAGACACTGTCTAAGATAAGGAAATACGGTCAAATATTTCCTACAAACAAGACAAATATTTAGAACAAATTTTTCCTTGGTCAGAATACTACAGCTATTGACAGATATTGCATTAAACTTCTTATTGTTGTTAATATTCACCTGAAGATATTTTCCCATTGATTTTTAGAGAGATTGAAAGGGAGGAGAAGAAACAGAGAGAGAGAAACATCAATGTGAGAGAGACACATGGATTGGTTGTCTCCCACAGGAGACCCCTCCAGGTATCAAACCTGCAAGAGAGGTATATGCCCTTTACTGGAATCGAACCCGGGACCCTTCAGGCCACAGATCGATGCTCTATCCACTGAGCCAATCTGGCTAGGTCTGCATTAAACTTTTGATGAAAAAATATTCTTTTTCTAAATAAACACAGAAGCATTCAACAAGTACTTATTAGAAGTTTATTATTTGCCCATCAGAATCCGATATTGACAAACTTCTGCTAACTTAAGGATTTAAAAATAGTAGCTATTATATTAAATACCATCATGTCTTCAACCAAGCAATAGCTTTTATGCTGTTCTATTTTTTAATCTCTGCTACTCATAAATTTTTTTATTTATCCCTTTCTCTTGTTTTATTTTTGCTCTTTCTACCTTCCTCCACCATTAAACACAAGCACATCTCAGAAAAAATTAGCACCTACATCATGAATTCCCATTAAAAAAAACTAATAGACTCTAAAATCTAAATTTTATTGTATGATCCTTCTTCACTCCATAAATAAAGATGGAGTTTTTATGTTTTTTTATTCCTCATCCCAAGATACATTTTTCATTGATTCTAGAAAAAGAAAAAGAGAGAAACATCCATGTGATAGAGAAACATTGATTGGGTTGCCTCATGCATGCACCCCAACTGGGTATCATGCCCCAACTGGGTATTACACCCCCAACCTGGGTATGTACCCTGACAGGGAATTGAACCCACGACCCTTTGGTGCAAGGGACAACGCTTTAACCACTGAACTGAACCACACCAGCCAGGGCAAGGCTAGAGTTTTGTTGTTGTTTTTTGAACTGTAAGTTATAGCACAAACTATATGGAATCCATTTATTAGACCTACACAGACAAAGGGAAGTACAGAATTCAGTTACTTATCCAAGTAATTACTAGCAGCAGAAATGCAATGGGCCGAAACTGGTTTGGCTCAGTGGATAGAGCGTCGGCCTGGGGACTGAATGGTCCCAGGTTCGATTCCGGTCAAGGGCATGTACCTGGGTTGCGGGC